CAGTCTGAGCAACATAACAAAACCCCATCTCAAAAAGTAATTTATTATACACCTGTCTTGGTTACTCTTCTCTTGTTGCTGGGACAAATACTTGATACCCAAAATGAAGGAAAGGTTTATTTAGCTCAAAGTTAGTGCAGGTTTCAATTCATACTCAGCTGGGTCCAAGGCAGAGTGGCACAGGGCAGAGGACAGCCATTCATGGCAGCAGCAAAGAGAGCCAAGGAAGCAGCTGCAGCTCGGGTAGCTAACTAGCCTCTCACCTCCTTACACTGTAAGGCACATTACCTGCCCCAGGACAGGTGCACCATCCACACCCACAGTATTCAAGCACAAACTGCAGAAGCCACCCCCTGACTCAAGAGGCTTTGGGGGGACAACTACACATAAACCATAACAACGCTCATAACGTCCATGGATACTAACTATATTTATGTTAATGGGAAACAAAGTCCCAAAGCAATTTTATAATGCTAGCTGGAAATACAATGATACTATACCAGATTCCATGTAAGAGCCTGTAACACTTAAAAATACATTTCAAAATCAATATCCATTTCTGGGTACAGGCTGCACACCTGTAATACATGTACGTTGAGAGTCCACAGCCAAAGGATCTCAAGCTCAAGCCCAACCTGGGCAATCTGGTAAGGGCCTATCTGAAAATTAATAAAGGGATGGGAAGGACATAGCTCAGTGTGAAGGCCCTGGGTTTAGTCCCCACTACCAAAACAATAATACTAAGAACAATGATATCCGGTCTTTCCTATATATTGTCGTCTCAACATGCTTGGCAAAAATGTCTTTAATGCTCACCTGTAGAGTTAATTTACAGAACATTTTATCCAAAGAGGAGATCTCATAATACTTACAATTTTATTTTACACTGTCAATCTCATGCACTGACCCTAAATTCAACCTCCTAAATCAGGACCTAAAAATTTTCACTGACTATACAAAATAAATAGCAACAATTACAATCAACTTAGTTCGGTTATTAAATCTGTAAACTATCCAGGTGTGGTGGCACACACCTCTAATTCCAGAACTCTAGGAGGCTAGAGAAGGCTTTGCAAATTTGAACACAACCTAGATAATGTAACAAATTAGCCAGATTCTTGTCTCAAAATTTAAGGAAGACAGGTGCTACAGCTCAGTGCAAAGGCCCTGGGTCCAATCTCCATTCATAAACACACGCGCGCGTGCACGCGAGCACACAAAAGGATTTACAACTATATCTGCTGTATGCAATAATGTTCCAAAGCAAGCACAGTAATAATGTTTAATATACAAGAAAATGTACCTTTCTCCTAAAAATACAATACAATATAACATTAGCATCACAACTATTTGTTTCTAATTCAATACTTAAAAGTAGTTTATCCAGGCTTGGGATTATAGCTTCAAGGCATAAATACCTGCCTGGCAAGTGCAAGGTCCTGAGTTTGATTACCCCAAATAAATAAATAAACATCCTGCTAAATTGTTCAATCTGTCTAGCTAAAACAATTTTTTTTTGAAGTACTGGGTGGGGATTGAATCTAGTGCCCTCCTCATGCTATGCAAGCATTCTACCTCTGAGCTGTATCACCAGCTCTTTTTATTTTTTGAGACAGGGCCATATTAAGTTGTACAGGCAGTCCTTGACCTTGCCATCCCAGAATCCTACTAAATCAACTGGGATTACAGACATGCACCACACCACTCCACCTTGAGCAACATTTCAAAAGTACTAATCATCTGGGCATGGTGATTCATGCAGAACAGAAAAGTTTGAGGCTGGCCAAGGTGACTTTACGAAGAAGACTTGCCTAGCATTCAAGGGCTGGGTTGTTGAATTCCCAGCA